CTGAATTACTACCCTCCTTGACATAACTTACCCTTATTTATATGGTTATTTATTTTTAATTGGGGAAACTGCAAAACCCACAGCAGTCATGTCTCAGCCCAGGAAGGGGAGGATAAGTCCAGTTCCTTGGATCCAAAACCCCTCGCTGGCATCAAGACACCACTATCCTTCAGGACACAGAATAAAGTGTTTTATGTAAAAATACTTGAAGTTTTGAACATGGCATGAGAATTTATTGATTTATAATATTTACCAAGCACTGGTACCATTTAGCACACTACAAAAAATTCTTTATAACAAGTATTTTAAATTTAGTAAAAAAAATCATTACAATATTTACAATAAAATTAAAATTTTACTGATCTCATAACAGCAAGGTAATAAATAATAACTATTTGAAACATGACATACTCGGAGCATACAATTAAAAATATTCTGTCGACAATGGTGTTGCATAAGGCACGGCTGCATTCCAATTATTATTCATGGAAAGTGTTATTTTATTAAAAGAAAACATTTAACCAATGTGAGGTCATTCAGCACTACATAAAAGTGAGGGAGCGAGATGGAGGTACGTATTGGTGAAGGGTTCACAGTCAGTGCAGAAGTTAAGACAAAATCTGCATTAAAGGGGGACAACCTTCAAAGAGAGTGACAAGCTGAGTAAGTCAGGCAATGAAAAAGGTAAATAATAAAAGTGGCACGAACAATATTATAACAACTGAGCGTTAAACCCACAAGGGTCATACAGTATGGCATGAACGATAAATGAGAATCAATTCTCAAGAGTGGAACTGGACATTTTTCCAAGTGACCATGTGTGAGCAGAGTGGGAAATACACAGGTATGAGCCTATCTTTCTACAACTGACAGTGAGGGAAGGACAACAAATTTCAATTGTGGTTTGATGAAAAAATAACTTGGATTCAAATATCTTTTTTTGCAGTATAAGCATATGAAGTCATTCTCTTTTTTCCTGGCTCATCTTTGTCATCTAATTAAATTGGCCAACAAAGGTTTTGGTTCATGTTTAAATTATTATTATTATAATCAAAAAGAAGCGCTAAGCCACAAGGGCTATACAGCGCTGCTGGGGCGGAAGAGCGAAGGGCCAATCAGTGGCAAAAAGGAGGTGGACAAGTAATAGGTTACGGATAACAGCGGAGCAGTGGATGTTGAAAGGGTAAAGGGCAGCAAGAGACTGAGCTAGAAAGGGCTGAGGGGAGTGCGTAAGGTATCATCATCAGAGTTTGTGGAGTAAATCAGTCGTCGTCAACAAGTCAATGAGAGAGTCAGGATTTAAAGGTGGGTCCATCAGCACAAGAAGGAAGGAAAGAGAAAGTAGTCGAACAGAAAGACGGCGTTGGAGGTAAATTCTGCGGTGTCGTTGATAGAGAGGGCAGTCTAAACAGAATGTGGCAATCGAACAGGAGAACTTGACACTGCTCAAACAGGGAGGTACAGGGTTGCTCTCCATGAGATACCTGTTTGTTAAGACGAGGTGGCCAATGCGAAGACAAGGAGAGATGGTTCTCCCAAACCACGGCACAGTTGACAAGAAGACGGGCCAGAAGTAACCTATGCTCGGTTTAATAGAATGAACTTTGTTACCAAGCAGAGCTGACAACGTTGTTGCCAACGGGCGTGAAGGTGGTAACCATTGCAGCCAAAATAGTCCAGAAATGGAACACCTCTTTAGGAAATTGGTAGGTCTTGTACCTGTGCCGCAAGCTGTGTCTGACTGTTCATTGCCTTGTACGTCGACAGACCAGGGACCCAACAAAAATAATATCTTTATGCTTCGTAGAGATACGGCATAGCCAAAGTTGGATGGGAGAATAGGGGGGTGAGATGTATCAAATTTTCGTTTTAGCCTGTAAAGCTACATAATGGAGTCTGGACTACCACAAATGATGACACAGGCTTAGATGCAATACGAATATGTGCTGCAAGAATGGCATACAATTCAGCAGTAAAAATGCTAGCCGAAGAAGTAAATTCCCGCACGACGCTGTCGGGAAACACTGCTGCAAATTCCGAGCCGTCTGAAGACTTAGAAGCATCTGTGTTCCAGCTGATGGCATGAGAATGTGGAGTGAAAGTGTTCAAGAAAAGGAGAGCTGGAAGCACCGTAGGCAGTTGTGCTTTCAAGCACGGGAGTGAGAAAGAACATGACAGAACAAGCTGGAACTTCCCAGGGGGGTAGGGAAAAGGAGATGCTACAGGAACTATAAGGTGGTAACTGAAGGGGATAGGACGAGTGAATGTAGCGAAGAGAAAAGGGAGGAAGCAAACAGGAGGCGGCGAACGAATAAAGAATGTCTACTGATATCGAGTGACCATTCTATAAAGGGAAGGATTGTGGAGATCGTGGGTGCGTACATAGATGCGGGAAAGGCAATGGGCATCACGGCGATCAAGACAAAGGATTGGAACTTTTGCTTCTTGATAGAGGCTCTCACAGGGGAAACAAGAGCGAAAAAGCACCCAAGGCACAAAGTAATCCTTGGTGTGGATAGGGGGTTAGGCTGTGAGTGAGTAGCTGGAGAGGCGATGAATTAAATCTGGTCACCATAACGAGTTTGAATAAACAAGGGGCTGAATGTAGGAGGAGCAGTGTTTGACGATTCAGCTCCCGGAAAGAAAGAGCAAGGGTTCTTTTTTAAGAAGGTTTAGCCGGCTGTGACAAGTTGCTTCAGGTGTAATGTATAGGTTTAAAGATAACCTTCGGTCAAAGAGAAGGCCTAGAAAAGTATACCTGATGTATCACATTCGGGGATTCGGGAGCCATATGAGATACAAAGGATGATAGGTGATGAACAGAGCGTTACTAGTGAAAGTATTTTGTGTGGGTTTTGGTACTGGAAATGTAAACCATGCGTGGTTGGCCCAAGTGGAAACTGGTCCCGAATGCTGGAGAGAAACGGCAATACATTAAGATGACTGTCAGCGCACGGCACAAGCAATAGCGAGTCATCAACTAGTGATGGACAAAATATGGGGTGAAGAATACAGTGGCAAATCATTTATAGCAAGGAGAAAAAGTGTTGTGCTTTGAACACATCCCTGAGGACACCTTCAGCTTGGACGAAGTCCGGGGAAAGCACATAATGACTCGAAAACACAGAATGTCTGTCAGTTAAAAAGTTCTTATGGAAGGATGGTAGATTGCACTCGGAGGCCTAAGGAGTGGGCCTGGGCCAAAATATTATACCTCCAAGTTGTGTCATATGCCTTTCAAGGTCAAAATATTGGCCAATAAATGAGTGATTATTCGCAAAGCATTACGAACATACGTATCCAAGCGTTAGTAAGGGGTTATGGTAGAACGGGCCTTGCGAAAGCCATATTGGACTAGCGGAGAGACTGTTGTGTGTGTCTAAAATTCCACATTAAAACATCGATTTACGAGAGTTCCATCACTTTGCAAACTGCACTGTAAGAGCGATGGGACGATAGTGGATGCATCATGACCTGTAGTACCGGTTTGCGGAAAGGGTGAGTACAATGGCAGATTTCCACAGCTGGAGAACTCCTTGTGCCCAAATAAGATTGAAGAGGTGTAAGAAGGACTACAAGGGCTGCCCGATGTAAATTGTGGTAACATACGAAGTGAAATGTCGTTCAGGCCCAGCTGCCGATGTTCGGAAAAGTGAGAGCGTTGCCTCCAGTTCTGAAGTTGTAATAAGGGCCAATTATACAGTGGTCCCCCGCATAAACGATCTCCTCCGAATGCGATCATGTATTAAGTGTATTTATGTAAGTGAGTTTGTTCCTGTATGTTTAAGGGTCTTGGAAAGGATTTCTACTTCACAATATGCCTTATGGGAACAATTCGGGTCAGTACTGGCACCTGACCTGAAATTACTTCTGAGTTGAAAAAAATATCGTTAACCGGGGTCGCTGTTACTGTTCTTCTTGAGAG